CTGTTCGTCTGGTTCTGTCAGTTTGTATTTCTTTGGGGTGGTCAGTTAGACAACTTGATGTGAAAAAATGCTTTCTTGCATGATTATTTGACTGAAGAGGTCTATATGCGTCAACCACAAGGTTTTGTTCATCCCTCTTTTCCTACACATGTTTGTCGTTTACGTAAGGCTTTGTATGGTCTTAAACAAGCTCCTAGAGCCTGGTTTCATCGCTTCAGTGGTTTTTTTTTATTGTGTCATGGTTTTTCTCAAAGCAAGTCTGATTCATCTATATTTATTTATCGTTCGCAGACCACTGTTGTTTATATTCTTTTATATGTGGATGACATTCTGATCACAGTCTCTTCTCCTTCTTTTGTCACCTCTGTTATTCACACTTTGTCTCGTCAGTTTGCTATGAAGGATTTGGGAGACCTTCACTACTTTTTTGGTATACAAGCCCGCCGTACACCTCGCGGCTTGTTTCTGTCACATGAAAATATGTTTATGATCTTTTACATCATTTTCATCTCCATACCGTGAAACCGGTACATACTCCACTTCCCTCACGCACCACTCTCTCCCTCACAGATGGGGAGCTTTTATCTGATGCTACTGAGTATCGCAGCATGGTAGGGGCTCTACCTACAGTACTTAGTTATAACTAGACCTGATATTAAATTACATATGCTGTTCATCTGGTATCTCAGTTTATGCATGCTCCACATACCACTCATTTATTAGTTGTGAAGAGAATTTACAGGTATTTACAGGGCACCTCTAGTCATGGCCTCTGACTGAAGTCAGACAAAAATATTTCTGTCATTATGGCATATTCTGATGCAGATTGGGCTGGGTGTCCAGACAGCTCGCGCTCCACTACTGGCTATGCCGTGTTCCTTGGTTCTAATTTAATATCCTGGCGGTCCAAGAAGCAACCCACGATATCCAAATCCTCTACCGAAGCTGAGTACACACCATTGCTTATACTGTTCAAGATACACTTTTTGTTCGTGCTCTCTTGGCTGATATGGGCATTTTTATATCTACTCCTGTTCAGCTTTATGGTGATAATGTATCTGCATCATACTTAGCGGTGAATCCTATTCAGCTTGATCGAAGCAAGCATATCAAGATTGACTATCATTTTGTTCGGGAACGCGTGGCGCATGGCGACGTGGTTGTCAAACACATTCCTACTCAGTTACAGTTAGCTGATATATTTACTAAGAATTTATCTAGTCAGCGTTTTGAATTTTTGCGTTGCAATCTGCACGTTGTTTCCCTTGCATAGATTGAGGAGGTGTAATAATGTAATTATAGGGATTACTTTGTAATTTCTTGAACTCTGTTATATTATAATTATAACCTCAACGCACCCAATAGGGTACAACATTATTTCCCAAAATTCTATTGTTTGTATATCTAACTCTTTAATTTTAATACGTAGTACTTGAGGTCTCATTTTCAAAAGTAGACCCCATAGTGAGAAGTCCATTGTACCAACAAGGTGAAATCATTCACTTGACATCTTCACATCTCGACCCGACGAAGTAAATGGAGGATTATCTTACTTGGACCCAAATGCTAGATCACACTGCCGAGCCTACATAAATTTGGCCGGAGCCAAGCTTCATAAAATGGCCCCTAGTAAGTTCCTTCACATTTTAGGTGTCCTACTTTAGCTTCACACAATTATTAATAATGTGATTAAAAAAGTAAAAATTGTGGATGAGATTTGAGTATAATAAAGTGAAATGATATAGACCATCTATTTCTTTCCCAAAAAAAATGTGACACTTATTTTGGGAAATAAAAGAAAAAGAAAGCAGGACATGTAAAATGAGATGGAGGGAATATTTGTTTGTAAAATGACGTCTTTTAATATAAGAGATTAATACCATGAAAGCTCAATACTTAAATAAAGTTCTTACATTATAACATAATGATGTCAAATTCATTAAAAAAACTAATTAAGTAAAACTCACCGAACAGCTTAGGATGCAAAACTATCAATCATTTCGGCATATCCTAGGTCTTCAATAAATTCCTTTTCAATTTGATAACATAACTAATCCATTCAACCTTTCTTGGGACATGCATGATTGATCATAAAAATGTCTTTATAAGCCCCAATTATCAGAAACTTCTTTCTAAACTTTCTATTTTCACAGGTATAGTATTTTATACATTCTTTCACATATTTAACATAAATATATTTAAATTTTTGGACCCTAATTTTTTGTAATTTTTTTGGGGGGCCGTGAGGCCCATGTCTCACCGGCCTTAAGGAAGGCATGACCCTGCTAGACCACTATCTGGTAACACCATATACTATACTGATGCTGACGAAATTCCATTTTTTTTTGAAAACTGATGCTGACGAAATTCCATTATGCACTCTCGTATCAAATTTTCACATCTAAAGTCATCAATAGTTCCATACGAGCTAATATCAAATTAGTTTTCACGCCATCTCAAACATTTTTCTTGTCTTTCTTGTCGTTGGATTTGCGCTACGCACTCTGTCGTGTGGTAGAGTATTCAAATCCAATAGCAAAGTAGTCCCATTGCTATCAGTGATTGTGTCTATAGAATTGGCCGTTGCTCGTTACCAATGATAAAATTAGTTTCTTTAGTTAGATCATTACAATAAAATGAGAATTTGTGAGTTGATTTAATATTTAGTTTGGAAGGCCGTCCGCTCTTATCTTAGTTATCTATGATTCTATTTGGGTGGGTGAATAATAAGATTGCCACATGTTTAAGGGTGTTTTTGAAAAATGGCGTTTTAGCCAAAAAAAATGGCGGTTTGACCTCCTTTAGCGTTTTCAATAAGTGAAAACGTTGTTTGCTAAATAGTTGTTAGGCCTTAGCATTTTTGAAAGAAATGAAACGGAAACGCTTCAAATAGGAGAGTTTTGGTTTAACGCTTTTAAATATGGCGTTTCCTAACTAGTTTTTATAGTCAAACAATTAAATTTCTAAGCATCTTCTGGAAACCCGCCAACTTATTTCGTTAGTCAAACCCGCTCACTGAATTCGCTATTGACAAACCGCTAACATAATCCGCTATCCGCTAATCGCTAACCACTAAATGCCAAACACGCCCTAAATCTTTGTTTAATACGAGTAGGACATTATTATTGCAATAATATGATTCCGTTATACATGCATTTGAAATGTGCATGAAATAAATCCACTTTTGGGTTACACATGGCGTATCATGGGTAGGGCAGGCTGGGCAACTATCTTGGGCCCTCCAAAAATAATGGACCCTCGGAACAGAGCGGGCCCAAATTAAATATAAGTACGGAGTATCTGTGTTCATTTGTTCAAATTAATTCCATTGGATAGTTGAACTTTGGAGGCCCGTTTATGTCTGTGTATTGGCCAGGCCTGTCACTGGGTTCCCCCCTTTTCTTTCCTATGCAGTCTACTAGTCTAGGCATAAACATGGAATATGCAAAAGTTGTGGCATATGTCTGTGGGTACAAGAAGATTTGGTCTGATCAGCATTTCTCATTGACAGGGATGGATTTAGGGGGACCGCCCCCCCTTGGACATTCAATTTTTTTTACCATATATGTAATATTTTCATAAAACTTTCATAATTTAATTAGATTCACCCCCCTTAGCTTTTAATTTTCAAAATTAGTATATAGTCTTACATAATGTAATACTTAATTGGAGATTTAAAAGAAGAAACATCTAAAATAATTTACATAACTTAAACAAATAAACAATAGAGTAACTCGTTATTTATGATTTAGGATACTTATTATATAAGAATTCCTAGTTTTGTAATGTTTAATTATCTTTATTAGATAACAAGTACTGGATTTTGTAAAACATATATTAAACAATATTAAATACCAGACACACTAATTACACAATTTTCAGATCACGTGAAATGAATCCAAAATATAAATATTTATAGACATTAGATTACATAATTCATTTATTTCTTGCTTTCTAAAAATAATTAATTGCATGGATAATAAACTTTAAATTATTATAGAATTAATAAAAATATTAATCGTTTAATCGTTTTGGTGTTTCTAACCTTTAAAATGACTTATTTTGGATGTTTTTAATCGTTTTCATTCCTAGATCAGACCAGATTAGACTAGACTAGTATTGGACGGTTATAAAAATACACAAAGATAAAATATCGCATCAGACCAGACCAGACCATCAGACCAAACCAATTTAGTGTTCGCATCAAACCGAACTAGACGAGAAAATTTGTGTTAGACTCATGTTTGCACTTCAATAATTTCATAAATAATTTAGTGGTAATGCTTTTGTATACTTCAAAATTCGTAATTTAGATTATTAGGAATTTTGTAGTCACTTTTCTTATAATGCATTTATGTGGTCTCTTATACCTATAATCTTAATTATAATTTATATCATGACACAAAATGAAAGTTTGCTCGATAATGTGTATCACTTCTAACTAATCCAAATTGCCCTTTTATTTCCGGACAATCTATATATATATATATAAAAGCACAATCGTGCCATATGCTGCCCAACTCTGACCATAGATGCATAACACGTGTCAGATGATGGTGAAATGCATTACATCACGGCAGCATCAAGAAAAAAACGGTTCTGGCTTTTTTGGATCTACATGTGGAAATTTATCATTCTTAATTTCTTATTACAATTAAATTGTGAGGGAACAGTTGCTGCACGACTGAGGCACGTATCACCATTTCTGCCATGACAAGGCAGTTCCACCCAATCACACCATTATATATACCTGCACCACCGAAATCAAAACATCATATTCAAGCATTCAAGCACAGACACTCTCGCAGTATATTACTAGACTTTTGTCATACTCATTACGTTACTAAAATTTTCTAGCATATAGGGAATATTAATTCTGTGGCTACTTTGCAGAGGGTTGAAATATCAAGGTTGAAGATGTTCAACAGAGTCCTAGAGCTTAATACCTCAAAGACAAATTGGGCACTAAAAGTCAGATTGGTGCGTGCTTATCCAGTCCCTTTTTTCACAAACAAAAATGTGATCAATACCATGGAGTGTGTGTTTCACGATGAAGAGGTATGTATTTCATGATCATTTTTTGAGTTCAATTCCACTTTACAGTTTTTAATTTTTAAACAAATTGACTCACTTTTATTGACACAGGGCGACAAAATCCATGCCACAATTTGCCGAGAAAGGCTTGGCACATTCAAGGAGCGCATAAAAGAAGAAAACGTTTACATCTTGAGAAACTTCGTTGTGACTCCTAATTCCATGAAGTACAAGACAACAAATTGTCCTTTCAACATCATTTTCAACCACAAGACAACATTGGTTGACCATGACGTTCCGTTTCCAAAAAATATGTTCAGCTTCAAACCATTTTTTGGACTTCAAAATGCAAATGAAGTAAACCTGACTGAGCTGTTTGGTATACCATTCTACCTTATCTTATTTTCAAAATTTTGATATATCATACAAAGACCTATGAATCTTAACGACAGATGGTCACACAGATATTATAGGGAGCGTTAGGTCAATCCATTTTCCTAGACCACGTGAGAATAATGGAGCCACCCAAAAATTGGTTGAAATGGTCTTGGAAGACCCTGAGTATGTTGTTCATAATTTTTATGTATTTTTTAATTTAATATCAATTCTTTTTTCAAATAAACGATATTATTTTCGTAAAATTTTAAACACATGCCATACAGCCAACAAAAGATAAGGTGCACTCTATGGGCTGTTGACGCAATAAGGCGTGGGGTAGAAAAGACTCCTAACTTCATGGTAATCGTTGTTCAAATGGTTCACCCAAGACTATACAAAGGTGAAGTGTGCATGACCAACAGTTACCACGGCTCAAAGCTGATAATCAATGGCAAAGACCAAGAGATACTGGACTTCAAGGACAGGTATGGCTATAATTATGCATTCCATTCAGTGATGACGTGATGTGTCTGTGCCTACGTGAAGACAAACATAATGACTTCATATACAGGTTTGACTTGCATGGTGATGAGGGTTACAATGGTTCACCCATTGTAGTGACCACAGAAGAAGAAGAGGGTTCGGGAGACGAAGAATTTGTGGCAATGGAATCCCTCTTCCAGGAAAACTTGGTAATTTTGTTAAATTCTACTATTATTATATTTAACCAAGGATCATGGAATATCTTATGTCAGTTGTAAATCTTATAATAGAATGGCCGATTCTGGGTTGTCGGTGAAGTCGTTGATATAGAAACTGGAGATGGATGGTGGTACTTGGCTTGCAGAGAATGTGCAAGGAAGGTGGCACCAAAATGTGGCCGTTTTGAGTGCATAAATCCAGCATGTAAAAACCGTCGTGATGCGGTGATGAGGTTTGATTTTCAAGACTAAGTATTATAGTTTGGCAGTTCAACTTTTAGCATACTTTCAAAAAGTGCTAACTCTAAAATCCGTAAACAAAGTACAGGTACAAAGTCAAGATAAGAATTATGGACAAAACAGCAAACGCTGCATTTATTCTATGGGATACAGCTTGCCAAGAATTATTCGGGAAAAAGGCAGCTACTATGGTTGGGGACGCGGTAAGAAAGATAAGATAGATTATAATTCACTTATCAGGACATATTTTGGAATACCTATAAAGAACTTTTGGAATATATCTTTGAGCAGAAAGAAGAAGATGGATTTCCTTTGGAAATATTAAATTTGATTGACAAGAAAGTGATTTGTTTGGCTCAAGTACAAAATGATAGTACAAAGAGAGGTGAAATTGCTTTTAGTGTTCAAAAGATTAAACTTGAAAATGAGAACACATCACAAGTTAATGGGGAAACTTCACATGCTAAGGTAATAAAACGACCTTTATTTTTTTATTTTAATTTAAAAAAAAAATCTTTAAACTTTTTTTTGCATTTATGTAACCCTTTTTACATTTAAGGAATTGGAGGATTCCTCTGGAGAGCAGAACAAGAAAAACAAAGAAAAATGTGATGAGATTGACCTTACCAACAACGAGGAAACAGATGGTGACACTGCCACATGTAGTAAAAGAGGTGCAGAAAAGGGGGGGAGAAACTCTTCAGGAGATGGTTAAGAGAAATAAAAGGGCAATTAAAGTCAAGATTGAGAAGTCCTGAACGAAGAATCTGGCTACCTACCGAAGCCTGTGTTTTCAATTATGTTCTATGTGATTTGCTGCTTTCCTACTTTCCACCTTTCAGTGTTTTTAAGCATTATCTAAGTGTTGTCAAACACACAAGGTCTTAAACCTTTAGGATTTCCTATATTTGTTTTCACCTAAATGTGTTGTAAACACAATGTTCTGTTCTATGTTTATATCAATGTAAATATAACATGAAGCGTTAATTTAAATTTACAAGTTTCCTGATTACTCAAATCACCTAAAATTAAGATCACTCTTAAGTTAAATGCTTTGTCATTATTAAAATTTTAAATTTAAAATTAATGCACTGAATGTCTGTTTTACTTTATATATCATTCACAAATCAGCATATATAACAGAGAGATTAAGAATAGATATATGGTTGACCTATATGGAAATCGAAGATAAGGGAGTGAGTGTACCTGAGTCTTCAGCACAATATTACCTGCAACCCTATGCTAATTAATATATTACATAAATGGGCAACCCAATTGGGTCCCCTAAACCTAAGTTTACATTAAGTTTACATTTGATGCACTACAAAAAAAAACAAGTTGTGTAGAAACCTGCATTATGAAAAAAAAGGGGGGGGGGGGGGGGGGGGGGGGTGAAATTGTGTTACCAAATAAAAGGCTGAAATTAGTTTACAAATAGTGACAATACAAAATTATCCCATTGATCAAGGAAATAATATTAGGTTTGTAATATACCGTAAAATTATAGATTGTTATTTCGCTTTTCAATGTAAATATGGGATATTAAAACATTCATTCACTATAACCTAAGTTTACATTTTTTAATATGCTACAAAAAAAAAACGCGGGATGAGCACCAGCATTGTGAAAAAAAATGAAATGATTATACGAATAGTGCTCTAAGTGATCCAGAATATTAATTTAAAAAAAAATCTTTAAACTCTTTAAACTCTTTAATACGGACTAACATTTTTATAACGTGTTACAAAATACAATATGAGTTATAAAATATATCTTAAAAATAAAATAATATTGCTTTTTCTTTCCATGTTATATGAGAATTAAATACCTGATGTCTAAAAAACGGTGAGTTACACATTATTTAATTGTTTAATTATACAAATAGAGTAGTCACAAGATGCAATATTAATAAGATTGTTGTTTAAAATGTACGTAGGAGATTTTTACTGATTAATCCAATGTAAAAGAATAATAAGAAAAATGTACGGAACAGTTATTGCATTGTGAATAAATTGCAAGTGTGCGATAACTGTAAGTAGTAATTTTTTATTTAAAAAAATAGTGACTTAATGTAACTGTACATAGTAATTTTTTATTTGAAAAAACAGTTGATTTTTATTTAATAGTGGCTTGGTGGTTGGAGACATTTACGTCACACACCCAGCACTTTTTTAGGAATATCAATAGTGCTCTAAGAAGCAAATATCCGGTTGACTATTCAGCAAAACAAATCTTGAATGCGTAGATCTCAAAAATAGACTTCTTAGAGCAAGAATGTCTTATCTTTACTACACCCTTAGTTTCAATTTAAAAATATTTCTTCTTTAATTTCTTTATAACATTAGAAGATTGATTCTTCTTATGCTTATATACAAAGCAAATCAGTAATTATAGATGATGAACAAGAATAAGGAGATAGAAATTCGAGAACATGTCACAAATTCAAGTACCAGGAAGAGCATTGGAAACAAGCGCTCTAAAAGCAGTACTCCAGGTACCATTTAATTAATTATAAATCTATTTTGTGTATTTATGTTTTATGACTTTCAAAATTCGTAGACTTATAAAGAGTTGAACATATGCTAAAAGGTGTAGATTATATATTTGTGTCTGTTAAAAGCTGAAACTGATGATAAATATTGCTGTGTAATGAAAAGTTGAGATTCTATCTTTGCACTCTGCCGGGCCTGGACAGTTGGATTATAAAAATTAATATGTATGTATCTTTATAAAATGAATAATCGCTCAATTAAAACACTTCAAAACAGTGCTTAAAACAATAAGTAGCAACATTGAGAAATCAACATTTTACTTAGCAGCCCATAGTGAAGAGATTAATGGTATCAAATAAATAAAAAATGTGAAGATTGGAGTGTTTAGTTCACAGAACAGATTATTTTTTAAACAAGATGAATGAAGTAGAGGAGTTATACCAACCTATTAAGATTTTAATAGATGCTTCATTAATTAAAGGGATATTTCTTTGATGTTCTTTTACTTCCACATACTGTTGGCAAACCTGAAATGGTAAAAGAACTAATGATTAGAAATACAAGAATTTGTTAACAGAACATAATAATTTTGAAAATAGATACAAAAAAAGTTTGGAAAATTGCTAAACAATGCATAATTAAGGTTTTGAACATGGCATTCCAGTGTAAACAATAAGAACCCAAATTGAAAAATCTAAATTTTACAAAGCCGCTCATAATAGTAATAAGATATACTAGAGATTGTTTGTGAGAATGAGCAATTACATAGGTATTTTGAAAATACTTGGAGGATAACCGCAAAATGTATCACACTGCCCAAAAAGGTATAAGTCAAAGGAGGTTCTTATTCTTACAACAATAGCAATTTGAAAACAAATTGATCGAGCATAGAGAAGTGTACTTCAGATTAGGCAGGCTTCTCATTGTTTCAGAATGGGCAAAATAGAAATTTTGAAAACACTTGAACAATACCAACAAAATGTAAAACAAAATCTATAAGTTTATATTAGTTTTAAATAAATTGTGAAAGTTATAGTAACTTTTACCTTCCCTGAAATTAATGTTATGATAAAAAATTGATTTGTTCATGAAAAAAGGTATAATTTATGTATGCATACGTAATCTTTAAAAACCAGTGATTACAACCTGATGATGAAAGCCACATATGCATTTTAAGAATTGAAGTGATTTTTTATCACCAGATCGAAGCAGATGTAGTAAAACATATGTTAATAACTTTGAAGAGCCATCAGATCCAAAAATATAAACACAATCATGCTTGGAAAAACTCATCTCATTCTAAGTAGTGGATTTCACATGGCATGTGCCCAGCTTCTTTTCCATGTATTAGCTGCGACAGATATACATACGTATAAATCAGTTCATAAGGATTTATTAGCAAAAATATATCTCTTACAAAACAATGGATTGACACATCAGGTTGGAAAATAAACCAAAACAAGTAGGGATCAAAATTTAGAAATCTTAGTTTTACTAAGCAGCCCATCATAGTTTTTCAGTGTTACCATGTTTTATATATTCTGAGAATTTAGTGTATTGCTTTTGTATGATATGCTTTTAAAATAAAAAGTCAACATTCTGGAAAAGATACTTACATGTGAGTCTAACATATGCAAAAAAGATTTAGATCTCTTCGCTTAAAGTGTAGTGAGTCTAACATAGATCTCAAAAAGATTTTGATTTAGTCTAACATAATCAAATTTCCTATAGAAATGCTGAAAGTGTTGAAAAAATAACTTCAGAAGCATCAGTTAAACAGAATAGTATTGTATTTTTTTTAAAAAAAAAAGAGTTTTACTAAATTGCACATAATGAACATCTTTGGTAAAACTGAAAACAACTTTCGCTTTAGATTTAAAATACACTTATAAAAGTAAAGTTGGATTGTATAAAAATTAAACTGTATTTATCTTTTAAAAGAGGAAATGTAGCTTTAAAGAAAATTTCTTATAAACAATATCTCCAAAAATGCCAGCAAGTGTAGAATATGTGATTAGTAACACTAGATGGGTTGAAATGAGAAATTTTTATTAGCTCCAAAATATGTATTGTTAGAAATAAAGACATAAATATATGAAGAGAATCAACATATTATGTTTTTCAGAAATGCTTTGGCCCAAAAGAAATTGATTGAGCATATAGCAGTGTCCTTTAGGTTATATTAGAAAACCAGTGAGTGAAAGTAAAAGATTTATATCAACCTATAAATTTTTTAATCAAAGCTTCAGGAATTGTAGGGATCTCTTCGCTTTGTTGTTCTTTTACTTCCACAGTAGACAAACCAGAAATGGGACAAGCTAAGGAACAATGCTAAGAAAACCAAGTATTTCTTAACAGCCCACAATAATAAAATAAACGTCAGATTGGCTTTATCTAAAACATTTTGGAAGAAATTTATTCAGAAAAACAGTTTAGTTTGAAGTAGATTTGTTAGTCTTTCAGAAATAACAATTACAGCCTGATTTTAAAAGTCACAAATGCATTTTAAGAACTGAAGCGTGTATGTAACAACAGATCAAAGTAGATAGTAAAACTTATGTTAATATACATGATTAATAAAGAAACATGTCATTTCTGAAATATTAAGACAAAAAAGTTTGATGAAAATATATCTCAAAGCATCAGATCTGATAATGTAAGTGAATTATTACATTAGTTTTAAAACATAGTGATTTCAAATAAATAATAAAGTTAAGATTGATGAGGTTATTTGACAGAACAGTTCACTTTATAAAAAAAAGGTGAATGAAGTCAAGGAGTTATATTAACCTATTAAGTTTTTAATTGGGGATCTCTCTTCTTTGATGTTCTTTTACTTCCACAAACTATTGCAAACCTGAAATGGTATAAGAACCAATGATTAGAAATCCAAATAGGTCCTCACAGAACACAATTATAACAAGTATAATATTAACAATAGTACTAACAATTATTATTAAAGATTATTTACTATACTAATGATTGAAGAAAGTCGGTTTATTAAAGAAATAGCAATTACACCCTCACTTTAAAGCTGGCAAATGAATTTTAAAAACTGGGGTAACTTCGTAACATCAGTTCAAAACAGATCCAAGTAAAAGTTATGTTAATAGACAAGATTAACATAGAAATATGTGATGTCTGAAATAATAAGACAAAAAAGTTTGATGAAAAGTTTTCTTAAACTCATCGGTCAATATACTTATGCTCATATACAGATTTAATATATAATAGTAGTTATATAAATTTGAAGAGCCATCAGACCTCAAAATATAAACACATAAAAGTTTTGAAAAACTTATCTCATTCCAGGCGGTGAATTTCTCAAGGCATGTATCCAGTTTGTTTTGGATTTATGACCTGCAACATATAGATAGAAGAAGAAATCAGATCATAAGGATTTATTATCAAAACTATAGCT